TTTTTCCGTGGAGTTAACCTCTCCCTCACCAACTTGAAAAAAAAAAAAAATCTGGAGGGCCATATACGCCCCTACAAGACCAACTAAGATAACAACTTGTCAGCTTTATTCAAATATATTTTTTCATTAGCTTAACGAGTGAAGTACTGTTTTATTTTAAGTGTGGGAAAAAAAAGTGGATTTGACGGACATGTGTGAATATGAAAGGGTCTTTCTCTTAAACATGTTCTTATTATTAATATTGATATTGATTGATCAGTTCAGAATATGGCCTCCAGTAATTTTCATTTGAATGCTTTAGAGAGTAGTTATTCCCAATACCAACTTAATTACCAAGTCATATGTATCCATACGTTTTTCTTCGACTTTCTCCCGATGATTAACCGTCATCAGATGCATCAACTGCTTGAGAAGACAATATATAACTTGTCAAACAAGAAGATAGACAAATTCATACTCAATGTACTGTAGACAAACGTACGTACGTATTACGTAATTCTTCATTCACCGGATAAACTAAGTCGTGCGATTATAGTATGATTACTTAGACCTTGTTTATAAAAAAATATTACAATATCAACCGTTTCTTATGTGAAGTTTGACAATGTATCGTGTGATCTCGAGGGAAGGAAGAGAACGAGAGATAAGAAAAGTTCCAAGTTCTATAACTTTAAGTAGCCTTTGAAGAATAATTATTCATTAAATAAACTATAAATTAATTACTGTTGCTTGAAAACGTGTGAGTCTTCATGTGCGTTTTATTTTCAGTTCGCCAAAAATTTATTTGGTGAAAATCAATTTAATGAAAGTCAGTTGTTGTAACAAAATTTGTGTTTGGATATATTTTTTCAAAAGTCAGTTTAATACATTAAAAGTTGTTTGGTTTGTGATGGTAAAATGTACTTTTGAATGTACAATTACCAAAAAGGATATTGATTTATAATAAATTATAATTTTTATTATACAAATGTAATATATTCAAAATATTTAAAAAATGTAATAAAGATTATAAATAACATAAATTTTGATCTATAATACTAAAAATTTGATCTCTAATTATTTGTATTTTTAATTTATAATTTTAAAAGATGTAATAAAGATTTGTAATTTTTATTATACATTAATGCTAAAAATTAACATGATTAATTACTCAATTTATAATACTAAAAAAATTGATACCTAATTATTATTATTAAAATAATAATTATATTTTTAATGAATTAATTATTTTTTAAATAAAAAATAAAAGATTAAACTTAGAATAGTATGGTCAAATAACATCCTACTTTTTAAATCTACTTTTCAAAAGTTTTAAATAGTTACATTTCAAAAATTCACTTTCAGCTACTGTTTGAATGTACTTTCAAGATGTGCTTTCCTACAAAATATTTTACCCAAACAACTTTCAACTTTTTAAAAGTGAAATTTTGCTTTCTGAACGTAAAATAGAGGAAAAGCAAACGAACCCTTCACCTGCTTTGTGTATCAGGTAATAAAAGAATTAGACACCAAATAAACGCTTCGTCTAACCATTGTTTTGCATGCAACAATCTCATCCCTCGAGCGCAAATACACACTCACACAATTCTCAAATCAATACTTGTTTTTTTTTTGCAAGGTAAAGAAAATACGAAAGCTGCTCACCTAGCCCTTCTCGCCCTTCTGGCTCTGGCATCTTCTGGTGCCTTTGCTTACGATCCAAGCCCTCTTCAAGATTTCTCTGTCGTTATTAACGACACCAAGACCACTGGTGGTGGTGGTGTGTGTCTGTTTTTTTTCTACCTTTAACTATCCTCACTCTAGCCCGCACATCTAATTTTAATCTGAATTTGCAGGCATGCTAATGACTCACGGGTTTTATTTTCTTTACTTGTTTGCAGTGTTAATTTGTGAATGGAAAATTCTGCAAGGACCCCAAACTTGCCAATGCTAAGGATTTCTTCTTCTCTGGACTCAAGCAAGGAGACACGCCAGGTCGACTTGGTTCAAGTGCCACTGTTGTTGACGCTACTAAGATTTTGGGACTCAATATTATGGGCATAGCCTTGGCTCTCTTGGACTTTGCTCCTAAGGGTTTAAACCCTCCTCACACTCATCCTCGAGCCACTGAGATTCGCATAGTCCTGGCGGGAACTCTTCATGTTGGTTTTGTGACATCCAACCCTGAAAATCGTCTCTTTACCAAACTACTCAACAAAGGAGATGTGTTTATGTTCCCAATTGGTCTCATCCACTTCCAACTCAAAGTGAAATGCGGTTGCATTTCTGGTCTTAGCAGTCAAAGTCCAGGACTTATCACCATTGCCGACGTCTTTGGATCTAATCCTCCTATATCTGCTGAAATTCTTTCCAAGGCATTTCAAGTGGACGAGAAGATAATCAACAATATTCAAAAGCAGTTCTAAACAGTTACTCGTATATAGCTATTGAACTTTGGAATAATATTATGGATTTGAGTTTGTATTAATTAGTTTGTTACCAAGATAGGCTGACACGTTATGATTATCATGAGAATAAAAAGTTCAGGATTAATTTTATGTATTTTAATTCATTCTATTATATTGTTATCTGTGGAGGCTTGGAATAAGAATACTTTGTTATTTTATCTTTGTGTTATTTTTTTTATGTTATGGAACATCCAGAGTATATTACTAATGTAACATCTTTCCAATCCAATTTTAATTGGACGTGAGAGGAAGTTTACAGGTGCCCTTCGAAGAGGAGAAGCATCTTGACAGCTCTAACATGCACACTTTAATGTTTAAAAACCAGGACTAGGAAAAAAAAAATGGTTTAGTTCAACCATTTAGTTCGGGTTGACCCTCTTTGAACAAGGCAAGTTTTAAAGATCAAAAAATAACTGAAACCCGAAATGGGTTTTTGTGGGTCGGGTGTGTCTTTGAAAGGGTAGAATTGGTATTTGAAAAATTGAAAACCCTTCTTTATTTTGCGTGGTCGCATACTCCTTTATATGTTCTCCCTCTTAACCTCAGGTTTCACTCTCACCATCCCAACAACACATTAATCAGCCTCAGCGACTCAGACTCAATTATCATTCGGTGTCGATCAGCCTTTATTCCGTTCCACCCTTCTTCATTCTTCATCTTCTTCAACAATGGCAGACTAGCAGACTGGGAGTGGGGACTCGAGCTCGAGCTCATCTTCGTCTTCTTCACTCTTCACTAAGCTCAACAGTGATTAGCAATTTACATTCTTCACTCTTTTGTCACCTTTGTCTTCTTCACCCTTCAGAATAGTAGAGGCGATCGACCGTTGAGCCTTCACCCTTCTCATCTTCATCTTATTCTCCACTTCTAGATTAGATTCTTTGCCATGCTTTCTTCTTCTTCTTCTTCTTCTTTGCTATTTGAAAAATTATTAAATCCGATTGTGAGGCCAGCTGATTGATCTTGTGATCTTTGGTTCTAAATGCTGCCAAAATTAGCTCCAATTTATTTTTAATATATATTCTGATAGCTTTTATGGATTAAAGGGATATTTAATTGTGTTTAAAAAGGGCGATACTACATTATCACGACTTTCCAGTGTAGAAAGAAAATTTCTACCACACAATTTGCTTTAATAATGTAGTGTTGCAACTAAAACATATTATGAAATTATGGTGTTGTTGTATTAATAACATGATATATTGTGATTTTTTGTCAATCAAATTAATATTTTGTTTTTTATATATATAATTATATACATACAAATATTATTTTTTATTCAATTATTTGGGTTACCTATTTGACTGATTGAATCATGAGAGTTATGAATCACTAATATTTTTTGTTCATCATCCAGTTCACAATTTAAAACATTATATATAATTTATTTTCATTGGAGAAAAACCGTTTGAAAATAAATAGGTGGAACCGTTGGGATGACTCATTGCCACGTCATTTTAATGATGTTTATAACATTTCTTATCATTTCAATTTTTTAATTAAAATTTATTTTTAACTAAATATTATGTCAAAATATTTGACAAGTGTTATATAGATAACTTAAAAATAATTAATTTCAATCTTAATATTATTTTTTATTTAAATGATAATAATGATATTTATAAAATAAACTTTTTTCATATTTTTAAAAGTATTCGTTTGGGTTGGGCTAAACTCAACCGAACATTAAAGCGTGGGGTTGGCCCAGCTACACACCAGGGTAAACCAAGGGACCTTGCCCATGTACTGAATTTTGTCCAACCGAGGCTCTTAAAATTATTATAATTAAAGTAAAATACAATCACCTTACTTCTATTTTGTTAAACTACATAGACCTTCATTCTATTTTTTAAGATCTACACTTTAATTTAATTTTTAATATTTTTAGAAATATTTCGTTAAGAAATTTATTTTTTTTATTATAATTATGTCAATAATTTTGAATTATGATATTGCCTATATGACTTAATTTGTCTTCTCTGTCTCCCAATTTTCAAAAAATCTCTAAATAATTAAATATGTTGATATCTGAATAAATAATTTAAAATTTTTGTGTTAAAATTAATGAAATTTAAGGAAAAATAGACATAAATTATATTGAGCAATTTATTATATTAAATTCTTATTTCATATTTTTATTGTATGTTTATATACTTTTTTATCTAGTTTATATATTTATTTTCTTATAAAATTACTAAATAAATACATTTACATAATTAAAATATAAATAAAAAATTTAAAATTATATACATTATTTGTTTGGTTAGTTTGAATTATTTTTAAAGAATATTTACATTTAAAAAAAGAATATTTTGATCTAACCAATATGATTTAATGATTAAGCAATGGTTTTGTGGATGAAAATAAAATTTTAAAAATAAAAAATATTTATATTTTTTTATGGTTTATTTTAAAAGAGGTTGGTATAAATTTGAAAAATAAATAAATAAATATTTATAATTAAGATAAAATACAGACAAGGTCAGAGTATTTTGATTTTATAATAATAATTATTATTATTATTATTCTTATTATTTTTCGCTGTGGACCAAGTGATGAACAGGTATAAGCTTCTAGCTTAGTTTTCATTTTGTCTCCCTGGGGCGTGCACCTGAGACGGCTTTAGCTCCCAAAATTGGAGGATGAACCTCGAGTTTCTGTCGCTTCCATCCCGCACAATCACAAGGTACTTATTACCTTGTTCCTTCAAATCCACAGTTGGATGATCGCCTTCGTTTTCCATCTCAAATTTTCGCTATAAACACTTTGACCTTCTTGTTTTTCTCGTTGGCGATGCATCATCTCATTGCCATTTCTCTTCATCCTGTTAAAGGTTTGCTCCTATTGAAACCGGAAGAACTGCTGGATGGGCACCGTTCAAAACCCCAAATTCGCTCATTTGTTCGTCAAAGACTCGAAGTATGGGCAGACTTTTGTGTTTTAGCGCTCAAAACAGAGACTTTAGAGAAATCTCTGGAAGGGTTGGTGATGGGGACGGAGTGATTATTGTGGATCACGGGTCGCGTCGTAAAGAATCCAATTTAATGCTTAGTAAGTTAAACTCAAATATTACGATCTCTGAGTTTGTGTTGTGCACTGTCACTGTTATTCTACCACTGACATTTAAAATTCTGTTTTAATTTTACGTAATGTGAAATTGGTTGTTATGTATTCTTTAAAACGATTTAATTTGATGCCTAAATCTCGTCATAATTTGAATGTCAGATGAATTTGTGGAGATGTTTAAACATAAAACTGGATACGAGATTGTGGAGCCTGCTCATATGGTAGTTTTCTGATTTATTACTGTTGTTATAATTATGTTAATCTGAAAAAAAAAAAAACAAGAAAAAGAAACAAGGCGAGTGTTGCTTTAATTTCAGCTTGAGCTCTGGGAATCTCTTCTTCATATTGGGGATAACTTATTTTATCAAGAGTAGGTTACCGTTGCTATATGCAATAACCTTAGAAAATTCTTAGTGTACTGAGAAACATGGTACCTTTCGCATTTTATGAAGAACTTGTAACCGTGAAACTTATCTTGATCATTCTAATACATGATCAGGAATTGGCAGAACCATCAATAGCAGGTGCCTTCAAGTCTTGCATTCAGCAAGGTGCACGCCGTATTATTGTTAGTCCTTTTTTCCTCTTTCCTGGTAGGCATTGGCATCAGGTTGGTCTGCGTTAACCCTGTCCTACTTTTATTGAGTCATGAAAGTAATGAAATTAATATACTTTGCCCTATTTTACAGGATATTCCTTCCTTAACAGCAGAAGCAGCGAAGGATCACCCAGGTGTGTCATATATTATAACAGCGCCCCTTGGACTTCATCAGTTACTCGTGGTAAGAATTCTCTGATTTTTTTTTGCCCATCTGTTTTCTTTTGGAGATAAGAAAAATTAAAATAACTAACCTGAGAGAAACACTCTTAGATAGATGTAACCACCAACTTCTATTGGACTTAAAATTCTTAATGTTACATGTCAAGGTAAATTTGTATGCATTGTTTGTGAACGCAATATGACCGGTTCTTTCTATTTCTAGTTAGTAATAACCTCTTCAGAACCCGTTGGGAGTGATATTGGGTAGTTGAAAGGCTCTCTCTTTGCCGGTTTTCATCATTGGGTTACTTGAATTAAGATCCCTAGTGTGTTAGACTGCAGCAGCTTGGTCCTTGAAGGGGTTGGTTCAACTGTTGGAAGAGTCTGGCTTTGTTGAACCATCTTGAGAGAATTTCTAAGAACTTCGATTTCAAAGTGCAGAGGGCATATCACTTAAAAACGGATCTATGTTGCGTTATGTCTGCAATTTTAAACTTTGATGATCGTTTGCTGCAGGATGTTGTAGATGATAGGATCAAGCATTGCTTAAGGCATGTAGCTGGAGATGCAGATGAGTGTTCAATTTGTGCTGGGACTGGCAAATGCAGGCTATATTGATTCATAAAACTTGCTTGTATGGGATGCTCTTGATGTGAAGGCAGATGAATCTGAGTCGATGGAATCTATGAATTGAGACATAAATTGCACAGAGCAATTGCAACTTTCTGTAGCCTTGATTTTGAGGGAGGTTGTGTTCGTGATGATATATTCTTCTATCATAATCTGCTGCTGGAGTTGAAGTTTAATGGGTCCAGCCTTGCTGATGTCATGGATTTTTAGTAAAATTAATGGATTGAATATCATAATTTACTTTGGCGTGTGAAATTGATGGTTTATGACTGCTCTAGTCTAGTCTCCTTATTTGCACATCCATGCTTTTGTAATGGTGCTGGAATTCTGTAATAAGAATTGAGATTGTGTAATAACCAACACCTCCACCAGATTTCTTTATATGTTATACACATTCATTTTTGGTTGTTCATAATTTTTTACATTTCTCTCATGAGACTGCATAATTCATCTCTATGGATCAGGGGTGCTAAATGTTTCTGTCACCCACTTCCATAGTTTAAATAAACCTCCCATTTTTATCTCCAAACTTGCTTGGGCTCGAGCCTGGGCTTCTGCTGGGCTTTCTTCAACAGTTGTTTCACCTGCATTGAGGCAACACCAATCTTTATCTTTTATTTAAAAAAAAAAAAAAGACACCAATCTTTATCAACGTATAAATCAATGCCACATGCAAAAAGTTTCATCACAGATGCAATGAGGGAAGATTGTGTACCTGAGCTTTGACTGTATCCAGCTGCTGCCTTTCTCTCTAGTTGTTTATTGAAAGCCTTAGCTGCGCTGAAGACATTTGCAGGCCTTTCCCAACCTCCTCCAAATACACCATACCCTTTCTTTGGTTGAGGCTGTATCAAGAACTCTAGCACTGCCAACTCTTCTGTCTCCACCCAGTGGATGCAGTTCACTGGGCATGACTCCACCGATACCTAAAATTTGTTGTTACTGTAGACTCTTAATGTGCGTGTATATATAGAAAACAGTAGTATATATAATTGTTGAATAGTGCGACTCACCTTCCTTGGACTTAGAGCAACATGGAGGTCTCATATTTAGTTTCGTATTTTGCAGACTTAGGTTATGTGGCCTTTTATTTATAAATCGAGTGTGCTAAAAAATTGTTCAAAATCATACCAAATATGCAGGAGAAGTTCATTTTTTTGAGAGTTGGTATACCTCAATATTTTGGTCATCATCTCCATATTGGACCTTTACTCGCGCAGATCCAAGAGCCTCATCCATAATGAATGTATTGCTTGCAAAGTGCGCACACTCTCCGCATCCTGGCAACAAACAGTTAAACTTTTTTGTGACTGATGGAAATTGATGGTCAGCTACCCTCCAATGTATAGAAGCTCTATAAATATATCAGCGGTGCATGGAACTTTGAAAAGCTATTCATTACAGTGATGATTGATGACCTATGCATGCATTCTCATCAACAAATAAAGCTTGTGGCCTCAAGGGTCCTTTCCATGTGCTGTAACCTGATGCAGAGTTCTTTTCCCCAAATCTAAGTCTCATCTGACCGATCGATTCATCATACTTCCTTCTTTCATCCTCTGACATCAACACTTGATAAGCCTTATTCAGCAACAGCGTATTGTCACGGGCTGAGAGTCTGGCGCAGCACATGGCGCCCGTGCGGCGTCCTGGAGGACCCTATAATCCTCAGGACAAGCCTTACCACGTACGGATCACACTGGTTTCGCCCTGCCATGGGCTCATCAGGGAGGCGGCACTAGCCCCCGACCAGTTGTGCACACAGTCCGAAGACTGAGGCAGAACACCCCCAATGCTAATGTCGCCCCCTTTACCCATATTGTGCGAGGCTAACCAGCGGACCGTTCATTATCTTGGTCTTTACACGGTCACGGAAATATCATCCGTGACATTCTCCCACACCCAATCTAGCACGCCCTCGTGCTAGGGGAGAACGACTCCGCCCAAGGATCGTACGTACAGTACTGCCACAAACACATCAGCTTACTTGCTGAGTGGCCACCCGAGTCCTGCACTCTTCGGACCCACTCGCACCCGCGAGCCAACAGGAGTGGAGTCGACAACGGCCAACCATCCCGCCCGAGTCCCCACTTTGGACCCACCTGCTCGGAGGCCTTTCTGGAGCGGTGCCGAGGCCGACCAGTCCCAACGTGGGACCCCACGCGCACACGACAGTAAAGTACGTCCTGCTCTGATACCACTCTGTCACGGGCTGAGAGTCTGGCGCAGCACACGGCACCCGTGCGGCGTCCTGGAGGACCCCATAATCCTCAGGACAAGCCTTACCACGTACGGATCACACTGGTTTCGCCCTGCCATGGGCTCATCAGGGAGGCGGCACTAGCCCCCGACCAGTTGTGCACACAGTCCGAAGACTGAGGCAGAACACCCCCAATGCTAATGTCGCCCCCTTTACCCATATTGTGCGAGGCTAACCAGCGGACCGTTCATTATCTTGGTCTTTACACGGTCACGGAAATATCATCCGTGACAGTATGCTCATGACCCTGAAAATTGAACTTAGTCCAAGTTCAATCTGCTTCTCATGAATCAAGTAACAAATTAAGTAGAAAATTATTGGAGATGCAAGGGACGGACCTGCTGGCCAGCGATATCTGGATGATATTTCTTTTGCAGCTTCCGATAGGCTTCTTTGATCTCCCGGGCATTTGACTCAGCAGAAATTCCCAGCAACTCGTAGTAATTCTGTTGAGCCCGTGACTTTTCCCATGCCCTTCTATTACAACATCTGATTACAGTCCCGTTCTGCCTCCATCTTCAAAAGGATTTCAAGTTAAAAAAAAACAAGATCAAGTAGAGGCTAAGACGTCATAGATTTTGAACATGTAAGTAACTAGTAGCATTTTTAAGTAACTAGTTCAAAAATCAATTCTCTACAGGGAGTCGTTGATCTTCTACTTCCTCACGAACCAGAGAGCTGTTAGCTGCTAAGAAACATGTTAAAAAAGAGTACCTTGACATGGAGCCATGGAAATTCAGATAGCCATGAACTTGAGAAAAAGGCTTTGAACAAGACAGGAAGCAGCAACTCGAGACTACCCCAACTGACATTACTCTTTTTTCTCGTCAATTATCGGGGATGAATTCTGAAGGATATCCTTTGAAGAAAATATCTCCCATTAGATAGAAAATAACTAAAAGCGTAAATGAATATAAAAGCGCTTGCAAAATATCTTGAAGATATTTACAGTCCCGTTCTTATTGCTTCTGGTGATTTGATGCGTTTTTAAATGAATAGTGGATTATAGTTAATAGTTAAATAGAGATAAATTTATATTTGACAACCGTTGTAATGTCTGGTTGTTATAATATTTTAATATAAATAATTGTAATTTAGAATTTGAGTTCTATTTATTTTATTTTTTTTAAGCGAAAACTAAAATGCATTAATATTCAAACAAGAAGGGTCTATTCAAATAGACTAAAGAGAGAGTCAAAAAAATCATTCATCATCTACCTTTAGCCTTGTGAAAGTGAGTTTTCCTAACTAATCTATGAGAAATGCTAGCGATGTTCTTATATACAAAATTAATGGTAACAAACCAGTTCCGGTTTAAAATACTAATAGCATGAGAAATGATATCTGGTAAAGGATGATCATCACTACAGCCTCTAGCGATCTATTTATTTTATTTTGGATCACTTTGTTGGCGATGATCAAATGATTAAACGGCGTCCCTGTGTCGGGTCGTTAGATGGACCGAGGAGTCGAGGACAAGCGCAAGAAAACCATCAAGCGCGTTTTGATATTTGAGCTACAAATCGACTCGTGACTCCGGGAGCAGGGCCCGGTTCGCTGCGGGGCAAATAACAGTATTGTGAGCGAACTTTGGGAGTGAGGGGCTCAAGGGGGCGATGATTGTACTGCGCCGAGGCATGGCCTACTGTACCAAATTTCTTCATCCAATCAAGCACTCTATTACTGTAATCTCGTCTCACAGCTCATCATTTTCTCATCTGAAGCGGTCCAGTAGGTTCTTCTTTCTAACTTGTATTTCGCTAATTTCGTTTCTTTTACTTCTGGTCGTTTCTTTATTGACTTTTTTGTTTTGGCGCTTCTTTCGTTTCAGATTATGGCAAATTCGATTTCATAAAAACATTTCTGAAAACCATAGAGCCCTCAGTATGCGGACGTTCTTCCATATTCAAATCCGATGTACATATAGCTAGAAAGTATCTAAGAAATATCTATTTTTGTGGTGAGTAATCATGTTTCGTTATTTTGCTTGATTTTATTTTTTTCAATTTAAAATTTCCGCCTTGTTTTTCTTGCTTCCATCATCAGTTGCTGTATGAACTTGGTTGTTTATGGTTCTACATTTCGTTTTTGAAGCTTCCAAAGTCTTCTGTTGAGAATTCAATGGGTTAAACTTCAACTCCTATTCATCCCATTGTAAATTGAATGTCAACTTTACATGATTTGCGTTAGTTTTCCCTCTTTGCCTGTATACAAGCTGCAAGCACTAAAAAGCTCTGATTACGATGGAAGATGAGGAGACAATAGTGGGGAGTGACAATGTACCATACAAAAGTTTTAACTTTTAAGAGCTATTCCATTGACGAGGGGCGTTGGAGGAAAATATAAAATTATCTGAACTTATTTAATTATTGATGATTTAACCGAGGAATACTTTTGGTTTTTTTTTTTTTTTTTTGGGGGGGGGGGCGTAGACGTAGGAAGATCTGAATGTTACTATTGATGTATAGTGGGATCGTCGAACCATGGCCCGAAGAGCTTCTATCCATCAGTGGGAGATGCTGTTTCTTTATTAGCTTTTTAAATATGCTTTCAGTCGTCAGTAGTTATCTATACCATGAGGCAGTTTCTGCTTCTAGCCGACACGTACTAATATAATGTCATTCACAAGTAAATATGCGAAGCTTCCTTTCTCCCCAAAAGGATTGTTTGATGGATCAACCTGTCATAATTAACCTTTTTTACTTATTATCTACTCGTTTTGGTCACATTTATAAGTCACATTCTAGAAGATTCATTTGATATCATTTATAAGTTATGGTGCAACTTTTTAGATTATATTTGAAAGATATTTCCAAAATTACCCTTCATGAGAGAGAAAAAGTAACAGGCATTACTTTTTGGATTTGTTATATAGTGGCATATTTGGAATTCTATAAACTTTTATTCCTTATACTTTTTTTGCATTGGTATTAATGAGGTTGGTAAAAATGACTTATAAAGAGGATTAGAGGAGTACATATCATGGTTCCAAGTTTGGCTGGAAATCAACATTCTTTCATTTGAAGCAATACTAGAATGAAACTTAGTATTCTTGGAATTTAAATGTGCATATAGATTTTGCTAATCATTATCCTTTTTTTGTCACTTGGGGTTTTGGTAAATGTTTCAGGAAATAAGTTCAGCAGTGGAATCATTTTAGGCACGTCAATTGCATATGGGTCAGTTATGGCTTATGCTATGGATGGTGAGATAGATATCTGATTGTTGCTATGACTACTTTTTTATCTTATTATTATTAGTAGCTCTCTCCTTTCCCATCTCTTGTTTGAAGTTTACCCTTAATAACTTTCAGTACCTTTTTTCCTGATGAGTAGCTCAAGATGCTCTAGTTGATGAACCCTATGAAGACTCGCTGGACCTTTCAGAGGAGGAAGAACATCGGCACCATCTGTGGATGCTTGCTAGGAGATTTTGGCTTCCTGTCTTTCTCTTTCTTACTGTGTTGACAAACTTGGATGATCCGATCTTGCTACTACTCATTAAAGTTACTTTATTCCTCCTTAGCACAAAGCCCAATCCTTACTCTGTCTATGTTTTCATTGATGAGGTCTGAAAGCATTCTTCTAAGTTCTAATTGCCTCATTAACTTCTTCAGAAACTCTTACTGTATAATTTACTTTGATCTCTTATTTGGCCTTTCACTTCAAAGTCATTATACTGGGCTAGGTTTCCTTCATTATAGTGCATTGGGTCACTCTTGAATTTCGTTTGTTATTTGCCAAGATGTTTTAGAAAATTTATCTCTACTCATTCTTAACCTAGATTTTTCTTGTCTTCTGAATAGGTTTTGTTTTGAACAGTGCTTATATGGTATTGCTTGATTATATATTTTTTGACAAATTGTTCTTATTGCAGCTTTGAACTCCGCCTATGTTTATAGCCGGTCCCAAGCCCGGGTAAAGGAGGAGGGTTGTGTTAGGCCATCAACAGCCAATGTAAAAATTTGTTGAATCTATCATGAACATGGACAATAGACGTTATAATGTTAATGCTAGGTCGTTGCCCGTAAGTAACGCGCTGCATGGCTCGAGTACAGTGATAAGTGAGTTAGAGCCGCTGCATCGGCGCCCGGATGTAGTGTTAAATGAGCAAGGGCTACCGCGTCATTCTGGACGCACGCGGCTAAAGAAGTTAGTCCATAAGAGCAAAATTAGATTTGGTACTTGGAATGTTGGGACATTAAATTGTAAATCTGTAGAGGTTGTAGGGGTTATGATTCAAAGGAAAATCAATATCATTTGCTTGCAAGAAACAAAATGGCGTGGAGAAGAAGCTAAGGATATTCAAGGTTTCAAACTTTGGTATACAGGAAAAGTAAGTGCACGCAATGGAGTAGGCATCATTATAGATAAGGAGTGGAAGAAGAACGTTGTAGCAGTTAGCAGAATTGGAGATAGAATTATTTCTTTAAAAATGATAATTGGACGTGAGACTGTTAATATTGTTAGCGCTTATGCGCCGCAAGTCGGGACAGAAGCCAGTCTTAAGGAATTATTTTGGGAGGATCTAGAGGGGTTGATTCGACACATACCACAGAGTGAAAAGATTTTTATTGGAGGAGACTTTAATGGGCATGTCGGGAGGGAAGCTGGTCAGTATGCGAGGGTGCATGGTGGTTTTGGTTTTGGAGAGCTAAACAATGAAGGACAAACTCTTCTTGATTTCTCATTGGCGTATGATTTTAAGATTGCCAACACTTGTTTCAAGAAGAGAGATGAGCATCTCATCACTTACAAAAGTGGAGCCTCAAGGTCGCAGATTGATTTTCTTTTGGTTAGGAACACAGATAGAAAACTTTGTAAAAATTGTAAGGTGATACCCGGAGATGCTGTAACGACACAACATAGGGTCCTAGTCCTTGATGTGTGTATTATGAGTAAAATCCAAAAACGTCGACAAGTAGTAACACCAAGGATTAGGTGGTGGCAATTAAAAGGTGAGAAGCAAGATATTTTCAAGCGAAATCTTTTGGATAAAGGAATTTGGGATTCTCAGGGAAGTGCTAACATATATGGGAGGATATGGCTAAAAAGATACGGGAGGTTGCAAAAGTAGTTTTGGGAGAATCGAAAGGTTCTGGTCCGAGAGATAAGGAGTCTTGGTGGTGGAATAATAGTGTACAGGACAAAATCAAGTATAAGAAGAACTGTTTTAAAGCCATACATTTGTGTAACAATGAGGAAAATTGGGAGAGGTACCGTATGGCTAAGAAGGAAACTAAGAGAGCTGTGGGTGAAGCTCGTTCTAAAGCTTTTGAAGAATTTTATAAGAACCTTGAGACGAAGGAAGGAGAGCAAAATATTTATAAGATTGCCAAGAGTAGGGAAAGAAAATCAAGAGATCTAGAACAGGTAAGGTGTATTAAGGATGAAGAGGGAAGAATTTTAGTTACAGATGATGAAATTAAAAATAGATGGGAGACTTATTTTTCTAAACTTTTCAATGATGGAGAGGATTCATCTAGTAACTTGGAGGATTTAGTAACTGGTGAAGGAGAACAAAATTTGTCATTCTATCGAAAAATACGTGATAAGGAGGTAAAGGAAGCTCTTAAGAAAATGGCAAATGGTAGAGCCAACGGACCTGATTGTATATCTATGAAGCGTGGAAATGTTTAGGTGAAGAAGGGGTGAGATGGTTAACTAAGTTATTTAATGTGATTTTACGGTCCAAGAAAATGCCTGATGAGTGGAGGAGAAGTACATTAATTCCTATTTATAAAAATAAAGGAGATATTCAGAATTGTACTAACTATAGAGGGATTAAACTCATGAGCCACACAATGAAATTGTGGGAGAAAGTAATTGAGCACAGGTTGAGATTGGAGACAAGTATTTCTGAGAATCAATTTGGTTTTATGCCAGGTAGATCAACTACAGAGGCGATTTATCTACTAAGGGGATTAATGGAAAAGTATCGTTGTAAAGATAAAGATCTACACATGGTTTTTATTGATTTGGAAAAAGCTTATGACCGTATACCAAGAGAAGTGCTTTGGAAAGCGTTGGAAAAAAAGGGAGTACGGATTGCTTATATTAAAGCCATACAAGATATGTATGAGGGGGTAAAAACTAGTATAAGAACGCCTAGTGGTCAAACAAAGGATTTTCCTATAAAGATTGGACTACATCAGGGATCATCTCTGAGTCCTTATTTGTTTAACTTGATTTTAAATGTTTTGACGGAACATATTCAAGAGGAAATCCCGAAATGTATGCTCTTCGCGGATGATATAGTTCTTATAGCAGAGACAAGAGAAGAGGTTAATTGCAAACTTGAGTTATGGAGGAGGACATTGGAGTCGAAAGGTTTTCGTCTGAGTAGAAGTAAGACGGAATATTTATATTGTAAATTTGGTAAAGGACTATTCGAAAATAATTTGGAAGTGAAATTGGGAGATCAAATTATACCTCAAGTGGAAAAGTTTAGATATTTGGGAGCCATTATTCAAAATGATGGCGAAATCAGTGGAGATATTTCACATAGAATTCAAGCTGGGTGGTTTAATTGGAGAAAAGCTAAAGGAGTTATTTGTGACCGTAAGGTGCCTAATAAACTTAAAGGAAAGTTTTATCGTACTGCTATCAGACCGGCAATGTTATATAGTAGTGAATGCTGGGCTCTAACGGGACAGCAAGAGCATAAAGTTGGAGTAGCAGAGATGAGAATGTTACGATGGATGTGCGGACATACACGTAAAGATAAAATTCGAAATGAGCACATACGCGAAAAAGTGAGGGTGGCACCTATTGAGGAAAAAATGGTAGAAAATCGGTTGAGATGGTTTGGGCATGTACAAAGAAGACCAAGGGAGGCACCAGTGAGAAGAGTGGAACATATAACTTTGAGTCCGATTAAGAGAGGTAGAGGAAGGCCTAAGAGAACACTCTTGGAAGTTGTTGAACGTGATCTCTTAATTAATAATATTTCTAAAAGCTTAATAAATGATAGAGCACAATGGCGTCTTGCAATCCATGTAGCCGACCCCACCTAGTGGGATAAAGGCTTGTTGTTGTTGTTGTTCTTATTGCAGCTTTGCCAACAATGCATGCGTCAAGAACCTTCATTGCATAAATCAAAGGTGGGTAGCCATACCATATCTTATGTATTCAAACATTTTTATTTGTAACATGTTATTGTAATTTGGATGAAAACCTAAGTGAACATGGGGAATCCGCCCTCAAAAAACCAGTTTGCTGAGAATGTGACTGGCTGGATTGTGACCACCCCAGGGTGCAGCCACCTATGATGTCAACTCTTCAGAGTTAGTGTTATGATGGAGTCTTACATGAAGCGACCACAAGTAATTTTTCTGGTACTTTACCAATTGATGGAGACCTAAACAAGAATGGGGATCTCACTCTCAAAAATTAGTCTGTAAGGGAGAGAACCTCCGCCACTTAAGTACTACTGGAATGAATTGTAGCTAACTTCTTTGAGACTCCATGAAATTAACAATCTCTGTTCTATCACATCTGAAATAACTTTTAGCATTTCATTATATTTTTCTTTTAGAAACCAGGGCCGTTTTTGTCCTGAGACTTATGAATAGAAATTATGGGATATTTTATATAGACAGCTTATCCTAACTATAGCTTTCCATATGGAATAGTAGTATTAATTGTGCTTATTATGTGTCTTCTGTCTTGTATTGCTCTAACCACTCATGCCCACTTATGCATTTGTTGATCTCCTTAGAGTAGCTAATATCTATCGATGTGGCAATAGGCTATGTGTAGTTTGCTAAAGCCAATTTGCCAATTTATCCATCTGTGATGCATAATCATCGGACAAATTACCAATTTCCTACTTGTTATGTTTATATATTTACTGTTGCATGATTTCTGGAAATATTTCCCGCTTTAATTTTTGTGTTGTCATAAAATATAACCCTATGTCATTAACCTGTATATTCATATAATTGGTTTCATTAATAAATCGCCACATTTTGAACGTGTATCGTTTATACCGAATATCAAAGTAAAATATTAGGATAACTTAAATCATACAATCTCCTTCCTTTTTCCTTCCCCCTCCCCCCATTCCTTTGAATTTCACTCATCTCAAAGTATATTAACAATCTGTTTGTTAGGTGAGTATATTGCCTTAAATTTGATGTCTGCTGATTCTTTACTCTGTAGTCATTATATGCCAGCAAAGTTGAAGTTCAGGACTGTAAGCTTCTCTGTCTGGCCAATATTGAAGTGAGGAATCAGAGTTTCACTTTGGTTGGAGTTCTGGGTAACTGGTGGACCTTGCCACATATAATGCCTCATGAGGCATTTTCTTTAATTAGAGATAGACTTGGAAGCATGTTAGTGAAAGCAACTTAACAAGGTAACCAGCTAAGTTAAATTTATTGATCCTTTTACTTAATATTGATGAGCTTGTTATTTTGGGTTCTGGATTGTGAAAATGACCTACTGAACTTGTTTCCTTGAAAGGGTCATCTAACCCCCCTTCCCGTGTGATCAATTGATCTGAAAAATCACCATTTTTCCATACAGCTTGCATTTCGTTTTAATCTGACTGCCTAATATTTTTCTAATATTTAGCAATCCCTCATTTTGTGTTAAAAACAGGGATTTGTTTTGAATCTTTTGGACAATCATTAAACTGAGACTGAAGTTTGCTTGGGTTGGAATTTATGGTGGTTAATGGGAATTTGCACTTACCGTGGAGTGGATAAGGCTGAATGAGCATAGTTTTTCTTAAGATGCACTGATGCATATATCTGAAGACCATTATCTAATGGCTAATGAGTGAGGTTGTGTGCAGTAGCGAAGATTCATCCTTTACATTAATCATGCAGTTATTCCCAGAAGTATCTGTTTCTTTGGCTTTTGGTAGATTTAACCGACTTGGGAGGCTTTTTAACTGTTGACCGCTTAGCTTTCTCTTAGCTTTCTCCCTCAAGTTATCAAATACTGATCTGAGTGAAAGAAAAAATAAATAAATAAAATCTGAGAATAATTTCACGGTTGTAATCATCCTTTTGAAAATAAAAATTTATTCGGTAATTGGCAATCTGAATTAGCATTCAGTCATGTAAAAGAAACAACTAAAATTTGCAGTGTCTTCGGTTGGCATGCTTCTGAACATCCCTTTACCTGTCTGGTCAGCAAATGTTTGCCGGTGACCTTTTTGACCCTTTTGTAATTTGTCTCTAATTTTTCAGTACATATTTGTTAAATGTCTGCAACTTATGCCACGAGTGGAGTGAATCCTTTGAATATTTTTAGGAAAAATCCCTTTGCCAAACTTGTATCATAATATTACGCAGTCTGTCCAATAAAATACTTCATTATCACTGTACAAATGGATGTTTTTTCTGTGGATTTTAATGGGTTCTACCACTAGAAATGTAAAACTGATTGCACGTTCATCTTGAGCTTTATGCAGAATGCGTCTGTGGACATGAGCACCAGGAACCCATTGGATCATTCTAATGTAGCAGGCGATCATTTTCTTCAGGGGAATCGGCATCTGATGAAGGGCCACAGAACATGCCTCCCCATTGAGGGAAATACAGCAAGGTCACTGGAAGAGTGCACAGTACCATCATAATGCCCATCAGAGATATGCTTGTTTGCCTTGAGAATTGGGCCCCTGAAAACAACAGCGTTTGAGTCACCACGGCCCCAACAGTCCCTCCGCTCCCCGTCATCCCTGAAATTACTCCAAGCGATCTGCACAATGTGATGCATAAAAATTCAGAGAGAGAGAGAGAGAGAGAGAATTTGCAAAACTGAGGAGCCGTGGGTATCTTTTCTTTTTGTTTTATATCGTCATTAGGAAATTGTGTTCCTACCATTTAAGATTGAAAGTCTCGAACTCATTTGAAGGGTTTCGAAATTAACACATTCAATTTGAATTAGAAAGGAACTGAAAGCTTATATTATTTACCAACAAATACGAGCCGTGTTTTACTTTCCTTCTTGCTCTGACGTGGGTTTGTCTCGAAGCTCAATGGAATAATGAGATAGTGAGCTAACCTCTTGGAAACGAAGGGGACGACACCGAATATGAGGCCAGAAGCTGCTTGGACAAACACGGAGAAAGCACACATGACGAGGATAGAGCTGCAGAGAGAGTTGAGGCGTCCAAGTAACACACAGAGAACTCCAGCCACTGTTTGGACCACCCACAAACCCCACAATCTCCCTCTCATGCCAAACCTCCTTCCCATCCCATCAGAAATCACTCCTCCCAGAGGCCGCGAGAACAAATTCGCCATCCCAAAACTTGCCGCTATACTCCCCGCAACTTCAATATTCACGTCAAACCTGTCATAAAAGTATTGTGCTATTATGTTGTCTGTAGTTAGTTCCACCCCGAAAGAGAACCCATAAAGCAGGCCCAAAATCCACCCTCTGTAATTGGTCAAGCCCTCCAATACAATCTTCAATGCGTTCTCTCTTTCACCCTTCTGGGTCTGGCTGGTACGCACGTATTTCCCCGAAGGCAGGTCTTGCCCGAAAGCCAGGACCAGTATCCCTGTGGTTGCTTGGAAAATTGCAGGAACAACAAACGCAAGCCTCCAAGCAATGGAAGACGGGACGTTGAAGTGCATGATGAGAGAGTAGATCAGAGGCATAACAAGTTGGGTCACACCCGAGCCCACGTTGGCCCACCCGGCTGCAACACCATTAGCCAGGCCTACTATGGAGGGGGAGAACATGGAGCTCATCCAGAACTGGCTGGACACGAAGTTGGCCAGAGAGAAGCCGACGAGGAAGCGAATGATGATGAAGGATTGGGGTGTGCACACGAAAGCGGTTGCGAGGATGACAGGTGCTGTTAGGAGGGAGAGAGTGCCGGAGGCTATGCGGGGGCCGACGAGGTCGCAGATGGGGCCCATGAGGAGGCGGGAGAAGATGGAGCCGACGAAGGAGGCGACGCCGGCGTTGCCAATGTCAGTGGGGGTGAGGTGGAGGTCGTGGAGGATAACGGGAAGGAGGGGAGGGATGGAGAAGGTGGAGAAGAAGCAAGAGAAGAGGTTGAGCCATGCAAGATGGAAGGCGCGCATGTGAGGTGGGGCGAGCGAAAGTGGGCGGAACACGGTGGCTCTCTCTTGGACGTCGACGGGGAGGAGGAAGGAAGGCTTAGAGGAGAAGTGAGATTGCATGGTGGTGGACTGACTGGACTGGAGGTGACAGTCGTGGAAATGGTGAAGAAATTTGAGTGGCAATAAGGCAGAGAAAAAGCAAAGGTACGTTGGACGTAATTTGAGGCGTCTGGAACTTTTGATTCGCTGCGTCAGGTGGTAACTGGTACAGGTTCTACATAAATAATGGAATCTTAATCCATGTAATATGCTGCTATCACACTAAGGGCAAGGGGCCGCTGCAATGAAAAGAAGCGTGGCAAGTTATACAGGGAGAAGGACAGTTAGGTTTTAGAACATTAAGTTGATGGTTGTTGGGTTTTTGACAAAATTTAAAAAAAAATAAATTAAAAATATCGATATAAATAATCATAAATTCAAGTGTTTGAATTGCAAATATGCATTTAAGTATCAAATGTAATTTTTAAATTATAACATGAATTTTTACATTTGAATTAATATTTACAATTTATTTTTTAAAAAAATTATTAAAAATCTAACTGTCGTTAATTCAAACTTTTAAAATTTTACTATTATTCTCCCAATTATATATATCCAGCATTTATCATTTAAAAGTTACATGTGATAATTTTTTTAAAAAAATAGATATTATGTTTTATAAAAATCATGCTAAACAAAATTTTCTTCCAGTAATAATTTAAAATCAATTTTTTTTATTATTTATAAGTATTATCTTATAGGAAACAATCATATTTGAGGCAAGATTGTGCATTAAATGTGGATACCTCTCTAATAAGAATTTAAATCTTAGTCTATCATGTTATCAGAGACTAACTCTTTTACTAGACCTAATTTTATTGGTAATAGTTCAAAATTGATTTAATGATACATTATTATACGGTTAATGAGTATTATAAATTTTAAATTATTGTGTAAATAACATTCTAAACTCTAAACTTTTAAAATATGTAAAAAAAATTCTTAACTTTTAAATTTTAAGCACCGAAAACTCCATCATTAAGTTGGAGAAAGTGACTGTCATTTTTAAGGGTCAAATGAGTGTCACATTAGCATGTGCTTGGACTTCACAGCTATAAAAGTAATGGTTATTTTTTTAACTTAACGGCAGTGTTTTAGACATTTAGAATTTAGAAGTTGAAAAAAGTTTTTATATATTTTTATAAGTTCGGAATATAGGATATTATTTATGCAATAATTTAAAATTTAGGATGCTAATTAACCCTACATTATAACCATGTAAAAAGTTGGTTAACTCTATTTTACAATAAATAAATTAGAATAGAAGCTGCTCATTATGCATGACGCGCATGTACAGGTACGTAGAAAAAATTCTGTTCTAATTAACTAAATAATTAGGAGTGTTCAATTTATATCCATCCCGATTGACCAGATATTATCTCGATCATAGTGGAACGGGTTTCTTCTCAACTCGAAAATAATCAAGACAAGATTTTGAGGGAAGGGAATGGAAAGAAATTCGGGACGGGACGGGACATGAGATTATTATAAAGACGTCTTGTCCAGTCCAGAATATTATATATATTATTTTTATTTTAAAAATATATATTAAATATATTAATTATATTAATATAATTTATAATTATATTAATTATAGGAATTATAATTTCAATACTTGTAATTCTTATATAAAACTAAAATTTTTTATATTGATAATTTTAATGACATAGAGTAAACAGGTTGATATCTTTCTTTCTAATATATTAATTATATTAATACAATTTATTCTTATATCTATATATTTAATAAGTTTTATTTATATCGTACTTCTTGTTTTATTTTTAAAAGAGTCATTAGTTTAGTATATATCAACTAAAGTAAAAAAAATAATGATTTGATATTATGATTGGTTTGCATATTGTTGTTGCTCTTACAGTCTAGAGATCACTTGTAATTGTTATTATAATGTATAGTTGTGACTAATATAATTCAATAATTGGTTTTAAATTATTGTGATTTATATACTTATATTGTTTTGATTTTAAACTTAATAAATTATATATTTTAAAATTTTAATGAATATTATTATTTAAATCTTTCTTTAACATTATTCAATTTATTGGGACAGCGAGACGTCCCAATCTTATTCCGGTCCGATCTTAATTCTTAATGAAATGAAATAACTTTTAGAATAGGACGGGACGGAATAAAAATTTAATCTTAATTTTTTTTCAAAATGGGTCATAAGATAAGGTTGTTTCAATTTCATCCTATTCTTTGAACACCCTTACATATAATGAATCACATATATGACGTCAAATTTCCGTGTGTGTGGGTGGAGTTACGTGGACGAAGCCTTTCTTTTGTTTTAGTTTATCCTTATACAAGATTCAGTGTGAAAAGCATAAATCTTCGAAGCATCATCAGGACAAATGACAAGTGGGTGTAAACGAAGCAGGGAGGGAGTGAGAGAATGGGAAGAATAATAAAATTTTTAATTATTTAAATTTATTTTAGTTTTCACTTTGATCTTTCAAATTTAATTTTTATCAAGTTAAATTTGACTCAATTATTTATTTTGTCTTCATTATTTGAAAAGAAAGTAATATTGTTCAAATCTACTGAGATACATAAACGAATATTGATAATAATTATGTAAATTAATTAAAAAAATTTAATTATTTACATAGGAAATAATAAATTTAAAATTTTAAAAAACATAAAAACAAAATAAAATGTAGTGTGAGGGAATGGATTAATAAAAATTAAACTGATCAAATTACAACACAGTTTACACTTTAATAATTTAAGAGTCAATACCTGTTTTAAAACTTAAAAGATTAGCCAGATGATTTTAAAAAATATAATAATTAAATTGATAAAAATTAAATTTAAAAATTCAAATTGATGAAAATTTTATTATCCAAAAAATGGAAATTATTGAAAAGAAACAAAGGAAAATTATTGAGAAGTTTCACACAGATAATTCAATAATCTTAACCTTAAAGTCTCATGAAATGTATAAATTATTATCAAATTTTAAATCCTATACAATTATAACTTGACAAAAAAAAAATGACAACTTGATAGTAAACCAATACTCAAGTTGTCATTTTCTTTTGTTAACTTGTTATTTTCTTTTACTAAATTGTAATTTATATATTTTATGGGATCTCTTCATAATTAAAATATTTAGAGGAAACTTGATAGGTATTTTTCCAAGAATGAAGCTAGTTTGGAGACGAAAAGACGTCCTCCTACCATATATACGTACATTTGTTTTCTTCCTCCAAAATCTAAAAATTTACCTCCACAAATCTCTTGATATCCTAAAATTGAAGAAGGGGTTGGGCCCCTAATAAAAATACAAAGAAAGTCAATGTTTCACATTAATTTCTTTGCCGCTAAGATAAACGGAGCATTGTGATTAGTCTAAACGATCGACGAGTAAAAATTGAGCGAGCTGTACCCAGTGATTGAGATTTCAAAGGTGGCTTCCAATATTTCACATTAATTATTAAAATACTTCAATTTTCCATTATTCCAGAGAATAAATTTTCTAAATTCAAAGACAACGATATGACTTGTCGTCATTTAATATGCTTTGGTTGGTGATGTTGATTTCCCAATTCTTGTGGAATTCACGGTGACGATTGGTTGTTCATATCAACCTTTGGCGAGCAAAGTAAGGTAGGCTTAGCTTAATCCGCAAGCTCTCCCAATCCTACTGGTACTACCCATGTTCAATTTCTACTTCAAGCTACCAGGTAAATGAAGATATATATTAATAATTTATTTAAGAGACAATGACAATTAAAGACCTGCTAAGAATATTAATCTCAATTATGGATCGTAAATTTTGAAATTTCAGTTAAGGACCATGGTCCTTAATTGTGATTAAAAAAATATAATTTGTGTAGTGGGATTTATTATTATCACTTGGAATTCACTAACCCAACTTGAGAAAAATTTGTAATGTATATTGTGAAAATATGAAACCCCACTTGAAAATTGAATGTTTAATAAAAAGCGTCACTTGAGAATTCATTAACTCAACTTGAAAAATTTCTAACATATATTGTGAAAACATGAAACTTTACTTGAGAATCGATTGTTTAATAAAAAATACTAATTTGGATAAGTCACTTTTTATTAATGATTCTCAAGTGGGTTTCATTTTTTTACAATATACGTTAGAAATTTTTTCAAGGCTAATTAGTGAATTCCTAAGTAGTGCTTTTTGTTAAACATTTCATTTTCAAGTGGGGTTTCATGTTTTCACAATATACGTTAGTAATTTTTTCAAGTTGGATTAGTGAATTCTCAAGTCGCGTTAGTAAATCCTACCTTACAAATTACATTTTTTTTATCACAATTAAGGATCATGGTCCTTAACTCTGATTTCAAAATTTCACGGTCTATAATTA